TGTTGCAAGCATTTTAGAAATTAAATAATGATGAAATAATAAGGGAAAATTAAATCTATCCTTTCTCTCTCTCTCTCTCTCTCTCTCTCTCTCTCCCCTTCTTCCTCTCTCTTTATTAGCAACCCACTGCATTTCAAATAAATAGAAATAAAGATGGAATTCTGAATGGAGCAATTTTATTACAATGTTTAGGACACAGTATGCAAAAGTTATGTGATGATAAGAGCTAGAAAAATATCATAGAAGTTTACTGTTGGGAGAAATTAGAGCAGCACCATTCAGTATGGTTACCATTTGCCACATATGTCTATTTAAATAATAAGAATTAAATTAAATCTAAAATTCAATACCTAACTCATACAAGTGCTTGGTAGGCCCATGTGGCTCTTGACTAGCATGTTGGAGGCACAGACAGAATATTTCAACCACTACACAAATTTCTGTGGAATGGTACTGCTCCCAAAGCTCCCCCAATCTGGAAATTCCATGATATTTTTCTGAGCAATCAGTCAGTCACAGAATCTTATTTGTGAGAGATGTCTGAAAACTTGGGAGTCAGTTAACACACTCTTCTATAGTGGGATGATTCAAATCTTTCTGCTCCCATAGAATTAATCACTTTGTAAAGTGGCCCATTCCCATGTTTGGAGAAATTTACACTAGTGAGTTATTCCTTCAATTGGGTCAAAATCTAGACTCATATGATTTCTGCTCTTGTCATATGTGTACAAAGGACAAGCATGACAAGTATACCGTCTGGAACATCCTCAGAGTGTCCAGGCTGGCTGCTGTGTCTCCACTTCCACTCCTCCTTCTCACTGACCTGTGCATAGGTTAGGAGGCTGAGGTGATTCCATGATACCACAAAGGTCAAACACAGACATTCCTGTTGATGTGTTCCATTCAAGACTTCTTGTGCCAGAGTTTAACAACTGATTCATTAGTTTAAAGAAAATGTGCAGGTGCCAGCATCCCTTATGGGCACTGGTTCAAGTTCTGAATGCTTCATTTCTTATCTGGTTTCCTGCTAATGTGTCTGGAAAGGAACAGAAGGTGTGCCCCATTTGCTTGGGCTTGAACTCATCTGGCAGACCCCAATTCAGCTTCAGGTGCCTGGCTTCAGACCAGCACAATTGTGGCCACTGCAGCCATTTGGGGGATGAACCAGTGGGTACAAGATCTCTCTCTCTCTCTCTCTCTCTCTCTCTCTCTCTCTCTGCCTGTAACTCTGCCTTTCAGATAAATAAAACAAGATCTTTTAAAAAATATGTGTACATCAGTTTATGGAGGTGAAGTTCTTGGGCTTTACTTTCTGTTTTGTCGTTGTTCTCTCATTACTTTATTCTGTTTTTGTGCTGCATGCTTCCTACAAGAGTCTAGGCTGTTTCTTCCTGGAGCATTAGCAAAGAAAGATTACTCAGCTTCTGCATAAATGGTTCAGAACATGAAAGAGTTGCCCTCATTCCTACCCCCAAATAACCCCAAATGCCAATGATAGAAATCACCAAATGGCTTGCTCTAGTTGACAGTTCAAAAGCAGTTGAGTAAAAGAGGGAACTAGAAGTATTGAAGATCAACAATGTTCTTCCAGATGATGTCTAGAAGAGAGGAAGCTCTTAACGGATTCAGGAAGAAAGTGCGTCTACCTCTCCACATGGGCCAGTGGAGGTGTCCCAGGTGAGACATTGTGTTAAGTGCTAGTTATGGCTCCAGGACTGTTCAACAAATGTTCCTTGAAGTGGGAAGTCTTTGTTGGGACAACAAGGGTGACTGAAACATATACTTAATCTTGGGAATATATGATAATATGATGTTGTCCCAGCCATCAAGGTCTTCACTGTTCAGAGTTGATAAGGATGTGGAAATAACTACAAGCCATTGTGTTGACTATGATAGCAAAAGCATGTGTAGACTGCAGTAATACCAACTGACTATGCAAAGAGATGAGGAAGAGGCAATGAAGGATGAGTAGGAAATTATTAGAGGTTCTGAACAAAAAGAGCAGTGAATGCAAATGCAAAGAGGCTTAAAATGAATGAAACAGGAGAATGTGAGTAGTTTGACGTGGCTGAAATAAGAACAATAACAAAATAACAATGACAAATCTAAAATGGCTGGGCAAGATCCATCTGTAAATGGCATTGTAGGGTGAACCAATGAGTATAGATCTGCCTAGTAACCACTAAGAGGACCAGGAAGATGAGAATGATTTCATTTGATTTTGCATCTTTTGTGAAGGAAAACTTCTATAATTAAATGATTATTTACTTTTTATGGGTTGATTATTTATAATAAGAACTTCTATTGCCTACTTATCTCATTGTGAAGTAGAATTAACCATTTATATTCTGTTTCTTGCGCGTAATTGGTCACTGAATAGAGTCAGGCATACATCAAAGAAATAAACAGATTTGTTTGAAATCAAAATCCCAGGTTTGATAAGCTGATAACTACAGATTTCTCTTCTATGAAAATATAGATACAATGGTAGGTATTTGATGTAGCGTTAAAATGTTGCTTAGGAGGCTTGCATCTCCTATCAGATCTACTCCACTTCTGATCTAGCTTCCTGCTAATCTGAACTTTGGGAGAAAATGGATAAATATCTCATGTACTTGGATCCCTACCATCAACTTTGATGGAGTTCTAGTCTTCTGAATTGGCCTGGTCCAACCTGGCCATTACTGGGAGTGAAAGAGCATATTAAAGATCTCATTCTGCCTGATTCTCTGACTTTAAAATAAAATGAGAATAAATAAATAATTTAAAAATATACATATATAAAATATTGTATATAATTAGTGAAACTCTTTAACACATTCCTAAGCTCAGAGATTGTATAGACATTCAAATGACAGTTTTGTTTTGACACTTTTGGGGTTTTTTTAACAAGGAAATTATGTACAGTGTCTGTGGGATTCACCTAAAGCCCCACATCGAGGTCAAAATAATGAATGCAAAAACTGTATTTTGAGACTGACACTGTGGCTCAAAAGGCTAATTCTCCACCTTCAACTGCCAGGATCTTGTATGGGTGCTAGTTTGTGTCCTAGCTGCTTTGCTTCCCATCCAGCTACCTGCTTACTGCCTGGGAAAGCAGTGGAGTGTGTACCAAAGGCTTGGGACCCTGCACCTGTGTGGGAGACTCAAAAGAAGTTCCTGGCTCCTGACTTCAGATTGGCTCAGGTCCAGCTCTTGTGGCCGTTTGGGAAGTGAATCAAGAGATGGGCAATCTTTCCCTCTATGTCTCTTCTCTCTGTAAATCTACCTTTCCAATAAAAATAAATAAATCTTAAAAAAAAATGTTTTTGAAGTATGAGATCATTTCCCAAATGTAATGTGAAACACTGAGTTATCTTCAAGTCTTCCTGATTGAAAGAAATCTATGACAAAGTGGAGTGGGCCGTATTTAATCTAGGTCAATAAACTTTTTTAGGATACCAAAATAAGAAGTAAAAGGGAATAATCATATAATATAAGTAAAAGCAGTGATTCCAGCAAATGTCAGATTTTTTCATTGGCTTCTACTGCTGCCACTGTAAATGCTGAAATAAATGTATACTTTAAAACATCTCGTTTTATGGCTTGCCAACTTTATCGATTTCTCGACCTAAAGGACTCTAAAGTCGATCCTTTCACACATGGAATGGAAATAAAATCTTTTAGAAACATATTCACTATGCTTTCTTATTTAACACTGGGGAGGTGGAGAGAGTAAGCTGGAACTTTTTGAGAAGGAAAGGAAAAAAATTTGTTGTTAGTATCTGAAAAAACAAATTAAAACAGGAATTTGTTGTTTAGTTTCAGTAGAAACTAAAACAATTTTTCTAAACACTGTGCTATGTTGTTTACATCAGAAGAAACTGGACTGTAACTTGATCCTGAAGTTTGGAATGAGAAAAGGAGAGTTAATTACGAAGTGGGAGGACTGTGGAAAGAAGTTGTGAATGGGTGTGAGTGGAGCAAACAAGGAGCCACCAAGTCCTGACGTCCTCCCCTGGGCCAGGTCCCAGAGAGGTCCCATGTGCTAGACAAGCTAAGCACCCCTGCCCTGTATGGGATCACAGGTGAAGACAGGCTTGCAGTGTCGTCCTGAGCTACTGAGCAGCAAGGTAGATACTGAGCCAGCCCTCTTGGGCTGCCCCTGGTACAGTCAGCACAGTGCTCACAAGTTTCTGCTGGCACCCTGAGGGCTGCTAAAGGAAACTGGTGGCATTGGCTGTCCATTTTGGCAGAAACACTCAAACTGAGAGCAAAGTGTTCCTGAAGCCAAGTTGCAGCCAACTTTCAGGAGGCTAAGTGGCCAGGGAGAAGCCATGTGATCAGACCACCCTGAGACAGCACAGACCAGAGAGACCACTGGCCTACACCTGGGGAGCAGGCAGCAGTGACACAGCCCTGGAGGAAGCCAGATAGCCAGATCTCGGAAGACACCAGCCAGTTCACGACCAGGGATGCCCTGACTGCCCCTCATGGGCTCACCAGATAGATCCCTTCTCTCCCATAACCCCACAAGGGCAGGATTCTGGAGGTCAGAGCATTTATTTAAGGACTGAATCCCACAAAAACCCTTTAAATGGGCCCTGATACAAGGTATAATATTATATTTAAATAGATTGAAACTCAAACCAAGAAAGATACTCTTTAAAAAGTCAACTTTTCACTGCTATATTTAAGTACTCCTCCTCCCCCTGCCTTCATATAGGTTGATGACTCACTAGGAGGACAAAATCTGCAGCAGGAAATAAAGAAGCTATGTTTTTGTTGCAATATATTAAGTATGCTATATGTGAATTTGGAACCCTGCTATAGTGGTTTTTTCTACTTTACATCCTACCACAAATTCAGGATTGTATCATTTATCCCTTTCTGTGAAAAAGAGGGAAAAATCATTTTTAAAGGCTTTGTTTGTATGAGAGGCAAACAGCTACACCGCCTGGAGCTAGAAACTTGGTCTAAGTCACTGACCATGAGCTCTCTGCATCTGCACTGACAAGAAGCTGGAGTAAGATGCCAGATCCGGGCATCTCACCCAAGTTCGCCACTATGACATGTACAAATCTTAACTGCTGAGCTGAACACCTGCCCCAAAATTCAACTCTTATTTGGCAAGGTTTATCATTTTAAGCAAAGTAGGCAAATGTCACTTTAATATTTACTAAATTCTTTTTATTATATGAGTCATATATCTTGTGTATGTGAATGTGTGGGTGACACACATATATGTGTGTATGTATGTGTGACATTCATATAAATATATCTTAATATTTTTTATTTTATTTTTTGTTACATTTCCTGTGTGCTGAACTGGGCATATATTCTTCTGAATGATGCAATGGGTTAACAAGATAATGTATCAGGAAGGAAATCTTTTAAGGTAGAAGGACCCTGACACTACCTTTTGTTTCAGTTTGATTAAACAGATGGAATTCCACGCAGTGGAAAGTTGTGAAGGCGGACACCAATAGCACATGCATCACCACCAGCGAACAAAGCGGTGGGAAGTAACTGAAGAGGAAGGTGGCAGGATGGTTTTTGGCTTCTAACCTTGAAACAACAATCTCTGCTGTGTGCAGCCTTGATATTCAAAATCCAGGTTCTTACCCCAGGAATAATTGTTTTCACTAGTGAAATGCTGAAGTTCCGAACCATCAGAGAAAGGAGAGGGTGGTTGCCTGGAAAACAGCTCATACACTCCCTGAACATTTCTCTCAAGCAGTAATTATTTTGTGAATGTGAAGAGTGCACTGGGAACCCACTATAATGTCAGGGCTTTTTTTTTTTTTCTGAATAAAAGTGACTGAAGTGTTTGATAAAGATTCTTCTTCTTTTTGTACAGCAACATAATGGAGATGTCAAAAGTCAGCCAAAGATTTAAGTAGAATATTTTGGAAAGTTTGGCATGACCTAATTTTAGTTAAGTGGAAATATTTCTAATTAAAGATAATATGTTTGAAATGGCAGAATGCTTCCAAGATGCTTTCTTTCCAACTAAATCTTACAATGTTGAGACAAGAATTAATGAAAAACAGAAATATGAAGATCCAAATTTAACTTTTGTCTTCACTTATGAAAAGGATGTAAATCTTGCCAACTTAATCAGAATCTATTTTTTTCCTTCTCAGTTGTATTTTCATATTACACAGAATTAGAGAAATCGCCAGTGTTACAGCAAATGTTCTAACATCACATCGAATTTAAATACATTATTTTAAATGCAAAAAAAGTCCCACTTAGTGAACAGGAAACAGGCTTAGCTTGTGAAGTGTGCTCCATCTGTACATCAAACATCAAAGAAGACCACGTTTTAGAAGAGCATACGCCATCAAGTACAATGAGAGATTTTGATTTTTTTTTTTTTTGGCCATCAAACACTTGTACCATTATTGTATGCTTGATTCCCCTTTGTTTCGTCTATATTTGGAGGCCAAGTAGTTGCAGCAATTGGAAATGCTTGGTGAGCACAACCACCCATCTCAACAGAAGTAGCTGCAACAGCAACCACTCACAGGGAAACCACTTCAAAAACTTAGGTCAGTTCGCCAGGGGACAGTCTGACGGCAAAGCACCAGGTAGAATGCAGATCATTTCCAAATAGGGCAATGCTTAGGAAAAAATGCTGTCAAGGAAAGGAAGCCACCAAAGCTATAGGGTCTGGGGAAAATGCAGGGATTTCCAATACTGGCCACCCAGGTTCCAATCTCAGCTGGGAAAGTTCAGTTTGGTTGCCTGCACCTCTGACTTCTGAATAAGTGAGAATAAAGTTATACTTAGCTATATAAAAATTGTCACAAGTAATACATAGAAAGAGGTGAGTTTTAAGGCTGCAGAAGACCTTGTTGAATCCCTTTCTAGTTTTCTTACTTCATGTAAGAAATACACACTTGCCAATCAAATGCTTTGACCAAGTCATCCACGTGTCTCCAAGTGCACACACGTCATGCATGGGCCTCTCATGCTGGATGAGCATGCACCTGTATGGCTGTTAAACCTCCACCTCCAGCAGCTTCTAGAAGCTTCACACCTCTAGACTTCCTTGCCATACCTCTCATCATAATGAATCTTCTGAGCTCCAATCAGTTTATGCTTGTGTTCTACTCATCATCCAGAGAAAATAAAATATTTCTGAATCATTCCAATATTTATATTCAGAAATAATTCCAGAGTCCTCCTGTTCCATAAGCTTTCATTTTGATCATCTTCTTCCCACACTTAATAATTATAATACTATCAGTAAACATGTTGATAATCATGAATACTTGCTAAACACCAAGCATGGTGGTGAGTCCTTTATGTATGCTATCCTAACAATAATTCAAAGAAATGTGTGTTTTGTTAATAACAAGAACCAACCCTCCAAAGACAATGTTCCTGAAAGAACTAGTACTGTCTTAGTAGCAGGATTCCTGAATGTTCTTGTGTTGCAGGCCTCAGGCTCCTCCTCTGCAGGAGTTGGGAACCTGCTTCCCAAGTAGTGGACTCAAACTGAGTTCCTGGCTTCCAGCTTCAGCCCTGTCAGCCCTGTCATTGCATCTGGTTAGTGAAGTGAACTAGGGGACTGGGTGCTTTCTCTCTCTTTCACTCTCTACTTCTTTCTCCCCATGCCCCTCCATCTCTTTGCCTCTGAAATGAATAAATGGAATTTTTGTTTAATAAAAATTAATATGTAATTCTCACTTCCGTAGAGAATGTTTATTCATAAACAGCAACAGTATATTTATCAAATATTGAGTGCTAAGGAACATCAAGTACTTAAAAACATTTGAAAGAATGATTCACTATCATTACTAAGAAATTGTACAATGGGAGTGATTCAATCTAGACAGTTAAATAATACTTTGAAATAACTGCACAAATCATAGACTTTTTTAAAAAATGAGACAGAAAAAATAAAATCTCTTTGTGGTTTTTTTTTCTTACAACTGAATATTATTTTACTAGAAAAGGGTTTGACAAACAATTGATTTATCTTGGACAAATGCCACTTTTTATTTTACATTTTTTAAAGAATCATTGCTCATTTGAACAATCTTGTGTCTCCTTTTCCTTCTTTTCTTTCTCATTACTTTATGTCCTCCACTCTTTTTTCTTTTGTGGGAGTATTTAAAAATTTCATTTATTTGAAGAAGTTTCATAATGTACTACAAAATATCTATCAGATTTTATATTTTATTTCCTTTGTCCCTTCTGCTTGCCTACAAATAGTTTCTATTCTTTTTTCTCTAAGGGAGATAACATATTAGGAAACAGGGATGTAGTGGTGAGATATCATGAACTCATTTATCAGGAAAATTTATAAACTTCTGCAGTTCCTTGGGAATTCTCCAAAGAAACAGAATCAATAGGACACAGAAGACAGTTGGGTAGATTGAAAGAGGGGGAGAGAGAGAGAATTAATTAATTAAAAGACCTGTCTCATGTGTGATTGTGGACAATGGCAAGTCAAATTCTGCAGCATAAGCCATCGAAGACAGAGACCCAGGAAGATTCAAAGCTATAGTTGAAGTCTGAAGACAACCTACTGGCTGAGTTGCATATTCTTCAAGGAAAATCAGTCTGCTTCGATCAAAGTTTTTAAGTTGATTGAATGAAGCACACCCACACTGAGGATAATCTGCTTTGCTAAACTGCTGATTGCAGATCCGTTCTCTTCTTACAATATAGAAACACCTAGAATACTGTTTTAATGATGATGATATGGGTGTCTTAACCAAGTTGACACATAAAATTAATCAGCATAAATGACCTGTTGCTCCCTGGAAAGAATGATTACCACATATCCTGTTCTCAACAGTGTCAAAATAAATAGTCTGGTCCCATGATTCTTTTCTTCTTCCCCCCCCCCCCCCCGCCTCTTTTTTGAAACTAAAACCAAGTTCTGAGCATTGGCAGGAATTTGGAAAGAAAGTGTTGTCTCTTTAATGGTCTCTATTATGAAATAGCTGGTTTGCGTTTCCTGCAGTGTTGACCACCAAGTGCAACCAGCCTGTGTAGTTTTGTATGCCAAAACCTGTTTCCCACCATTTTCCAATAGTGTCAAACCTCCTTGCAACCTCCCTACCCGTGTCTGGAATTAATCAGTCACCCAGCACTTTCAGCGGCTCTCTAGTTTTACACTGGGTCCTAATGAAAATGCCCAGTCCCAAGAAATACTCTGTGAACCCTCATGGTTGTCCTGAATCACCATCACTCAGCGGCTGATATGGCTCCTCCCTGGATCACCTGGAAAGGTAAGGCCTACTCCCTGATTGGGCTTTCTTGTACCTGCTTTAACATTTGCAAAGCATCCATTCAGTTAGGCACTTAAGATGGAGACCTGCCCATCCGTCCTATGCTCACCTCTACCCACCCATTCTGGCTCGTCTCCTTTCCACTTTCTCCAATGGAAAGGAGTGGTCATGCACTTTTTTTATATTCTCCATGTCACTTTTCTTAGATGACCCTCGGTTACACAGAATTGGAATAATTGAGATTTGGGGTTTATTATGTATTACATGTGCTGGGTTCACACATGTCCCCTTTTGTTTTCAGTTGTCCATTTATTAGATCATAATGAACACCATGAAGCCTCCACCAGGCCCAGGTATTAAAGCATTGCCAATGACTTGTACTTAGCCTGTGCTTCCCCTTTATCCTCTCTCCCTTCTTTCCCCTAAAAATAATTATAATTCTGAATTTGCATCTCTCTCTCTCTCTCTCTCACACACACACACACACACACACACACACACACTTGCACATAGCTTTATCACACATTTAGGCTAAGGTGTACAGCTTCATATTGGTGATATTGTTGCAGGATTTTTGACTCTGAGTATGGCAGCAACTTCAAATTCTTGTCTCACAGGAAAGAAGAATTTTCATGCGGACACAGTTTAGTTTTAACGCAAGATTTATTAGAAAAGCTGAGAAGAGAAGACTCCCGTCCTAGTGACGGGAGGGGGTTTTGAGATAGAAAGGACCCTCATCCCCTGCCATAGTGGTAGGAGGAAAAGGACCCCAGTGCTCTGCCATAGTGGCAGGAAGACAAGAACCCTAGTGCTCTGCCATAGTGGCAGGAGGAGAAGAATAACCCTCTGTCATAGTGGCAGGAAGAAGAACCGAAAACCCTCTGCCATGGTGGCAGGAAGAGAAGAAGAACCCTAGTGCTCTGCCATAGTGGCAGGAGGAAAATGAGAACCCGTATCAATGGTGGGGAATGCACCTTTTAAAGGATTCCCTCAAAGATGTTTCTCCATAAACAAAGAAAATTCCTGATTTCCATGGTACCTGGCCTTGGGACAAAAGGTCACAGAGATACCAGACATAGGACATTCCAGGCCTTAGGCGATGTGTATTACTTCTTCCTGCTGTCCTTTCAATGATAAAGAGATCAGCCTGAGGCCCTCCCACAATGACCAGAGGGGATGGCCGATACTTCAGGTGGGGAATTGATATGCTAATAGCACCCCTGTCCCTTGGAAGAAACGTGCTCTGGTGAATCCAAGACATGATGGGGAAATTCTCTTTTACTTGGGGACCCAGAATACCCTAACTGCCTACTACCCACTCTAACTCCTCTCTCAATATCATGTTGGTAACTTGAAATCAGCCATAATGGGAAGATTGCACCGTGAAATTAGAAAATAAGTCACCACAGAGCCATTCCCCAGACTCACAGCACACCAATGTATGAATGTTCCTTGACAAAAGATGCTTTACCTCTGGGATTGATTTGCTATATCTTCACTTCTTAGAGAGATACTCGAAACATAGTGGACACTAAGTCATTTAGTATATAAATATCCTTCTCTATTCCTAAGTCAGCAAGCCTCAAGACCAAATAAAAGATAACCTCTCTACCTCCCGAAGAAATTCTATCATCTGAAATTAAATACATTCCATGTGTTTTATTGCAGCCTGGGTTTAGCAACTATTGTCTCCCACCTAACTCCCA